CCCCCCCCCCCCCCCCAATTCCTGCTAAATGGTGTCCAAATAATATTTCAATGCATTTGATGTCATACTTTCTTTTTGTGACAGATGATAGGAGGGGCTCAGACAGAGCTGGGATCAGGAAAAGAGAACTAGAGAGGCTTCTGCTGTGGTATTGGGACTTCTCTGTATCTGCTACTTAAGGATTCTGGTGGATGTTTCAGATGTAAAAACAGTGTTACATGTCATTGACATACTGTTCACCTTCAGCAAACAGATGTTGCTTCTTTTCAGGAGAAGAAAAGGAAGGACAATTCAGGCATAGCAGCAAAAAAAACCCCTAGGAACTTCAGGAAAACAAAGTACATCAGTTAGGAATGTATTGGTACTTCTGATACGAAAACTCTCCTGAATGACAGTATAGCAGTTGTGAAGTGCTTCCCCCTAAGCGCTGTGCATATGCGCCGTATACTGCGGCTGCCTTCCAGTCACCTGAGACTTTCAGGATAAGGCAGAGTATGTATGAATGGACCAGCTAGTTCATAGGTTTAATCCTCTAGAATAAGTAGTTAAGCCATGACCTGCCTCGTGGAAAATGTCCTGTGCTGCTAAGTGCCAACAATACAGTGTACGTGACTTGCTGATTTGAAGACAAATAGGTGAAGCCCAAATGTTAAATAAAGCAAAAAGCAAACACAAAAATTAACAGGCTCCTTGCCTTTTAGTTTTAAGGAACTTTTGGTGAATGGTATAGATGATAGTCATAGAGTAGGAGGCTCTGCTGTTATCTGTAAGAGTATTAGCATAACTTTGTGGTCAGAAGGAAGGAAAGCAGGTATTGGAAAAAGAAATTTCAAAAAAAAAAAAAAAAAAAAAAAAGCTGAAACTGTTCTTGGAAACTACACATAAGACTGTATAGAGAATGTTGTTCTGCTTTCCAAAGTGGAATTGCTATGGAGAAAGATGGTTACTCTTCATCCCCTTAATTTAGTCTTGAGCTATGTTTCTGCCTCTCACTCAATTTTAATGTTTCTGATGATGTTAAATAATACTACAGCACGTAAACTAATTGCTGGATGGTCTGGTTTTGGTTAGTATACCCTGAAGTCAGGTCGTGATTGCTCACAAACAGTCCAAAGTATTTGTTTTGCAAGTTATCATCTAAATGACTGGTGCTTGTAAAATGCCCTGTTTGTTGCCTGATGTAAGATGATGATAAAGGAAAATAATGCAGCAGTGGAGAAGGCAATGCATGCAGTGAAAGTGAAGGTTATTTTAGGCTGGTGATTGTCTGGAGAATAGGAAATGTTAACAAGCTTCTTAGATGATACAGACTGCGTTTTTAGAAGAGAAGAAAATTATGCCAGA